CAGGAGTTGGAGGTTGCTGTGAGCTGTAATGCCACGGCACTCTACCCAGGGGGACAGCTTGAGGCTCTGTCTCAAAAAAAAAAAAAAAAAAAAAAAAATGTCTAGCATCTGGTAGACAATAAATATTTGTTGGTCAGATACAGTGGATCACACCTATAATCTTAGAACTCTGAGAGGCTAAGGTGGGAGAACTTGCCAGGAGTTGGAGACCAGCCTGGGCAACATTGCAAGACTCCACCTCTAAGAAAAAAATTAAATTAAATTAAAATAATTTGTTGGCAGCACCTATGGCTCAGTGAGTAGGGTGCCGGCCCCATATACCAAGGGTGGCGGGTATGAACCTGGCTCTGGTCAAACTGCAACAAAAAATAGCCAGGCATTGTACTGGACACCTGTAGTCCCAGCTACTAGGGAGGCTGAGGCAAGAGAATCACCAAGAGCTGAAGGTTGCTGTGAGTTGTGACACCATGGCACTCTACCGAGGAAAACAAAATAAGATTCTTGTCTCTAAAAAAAAAAATAAAAATTGTTGAGTCTTGGTGCCTGTAGCACAGTGGTTATGCAGCCCGGCCACATACACTGAGGCTGGCAGGTTCCAGCCCACTGAGGCCAGCTAAACAACGACAACTGCAGTAAGAAAACAGCCAGGTGTTGTGGCAGATGCCTGTAGTCCCAGTTACTTGGGAGGCTGAGTCAAGAGAATCGCTTAAGCCCAAGAGTTGGAGGTTGCTGTGAGCGGTGATACCACAGAACTCTACTGAGGGCAACACAGTGAGACTCCATCTCAAAAAAACAAAAAATAATATAATAATAATTTGTTGAATTAATCAACAGCACTCTGGGAGGCTGAGGTGGGTGGATCACCTGAGCTCACAAGTTCGAGACCAGCTCTGAGTTACAGCATCTCTAAAAATAGCTGGGTATTGTGGTAGGCACCTATAATCCCAGCTACTCGAGGGGCTGAAGCAAGAGAGTCAATTGAGCCCAAGAGTTGGAGGTTGCTGTGAGCTATGACACCACAGCTATCTACCAGGGGCAACAAAGCGAGACTCTGTCTCAAAAAAAAAAAAAGTGGCTATTTTCAACAGGAGGCAGTAGAGCAGAACAGGTTCAAAGTTACACCACTTAATATCTGTGAGACCTAAAGCAAATAAGTACCTTAACATCTCTTTGCCTCAGTTTTCCTAAATGTAAAAGAGAAGCAATAACATTACCTACCTCATAGGGCTGTTAATAGAACAAAAGGAGATAACATATGTACAGCACTTAGAAAAATGCCTAGCCTATATAAGCTCACTACAATATTAGTAATACTGTGATACTTATTACAGTAAGCAGAAACTAGGTCTCTTCATGTCTTCCAGCAGGCACTTGGGATACTCCCTAGCATGGCTCCAGATCCTACCTAGCAGGAGGGAAACGGCTGATATCCCCTTTGGCAAAAGTGAAGCAGTGTAGGTTCGGACTGCAGGACCAGGAGGCTGGGGATGGAGCTCCAGACTGACCACTCTCAGGCTCCAGTTCCCAGTGGGAGATGGCTTCATTCACAAAGTCTCTGGCACTCAGCTGTTCCAGCTTAGCACTCACATGATCCCAAGCAGCAAATTTATTGACCAGTGCACCATACTTCTGCTCTGAGAGGAGACTAACCCGGATTGATGACCAAAGATCCCCAAACTGCACACTGTAGGTCATGTCAAAATTCTGCAGAGCCAGTTGAACAGCAGGGAATTTGGGCTCTGTGGCAGCCTAAAATAGAAAAGACAAGCTTATTGGGGCAGCACCTGTGGCTCAAAGGAGTAGGGCACTGGCCCCATATGCTAGAGGTGGTGGGTTCAAACCCACCCCCAGCCAAAAACTGCAAAAAAAAAGCTTATTGGTCTTCCCTGTCTTGTTCCTATCACCCACTACCTGACCCCACCTCAGAGCCCAGAGGCAAGCGTGGATCCAGCAAGTGCCCACCCCTGCCTTTGATCCTGCGTCTACAACCGCCTCTGCCTGCCTGCCTACAATCTCAGGATTGTAAGGAAGCTGTAGTGTTCATAATAACATATGAAGGAGCAGGAAGAACATAAAGAGAATAGGAGCTCAGGAGAGGACTCTTCAGGAGAACCTGCAAAAGGTAGGCAGAAACTATGATGGTCATGTGGAAGCTTCAAGCTTAAAAACAAAAGATCCTTAGGGCCGGGAGAGGTGGCTCACACCTATAATCCTAGCACTCTGGGAGGGCGAGACAGGTAGACTGCCTGAGCTCACAGGTTCGATACCAGCCTAAGCTAGAGTGAGACCTCATCTCTAAAAAATAGCTGGGTGTTGTGCTGGGCACCTGTAGTTCCAGCTACTCACAAGGCTGAGGCAAGAGAATCGCTTGAGCCCAAGAGTTTGAGGTTGCTGTAAGCTACAACGCCATGGCACTCTACCAAGGACAAAGTTAGACTCTATATAAAATAAAAAAAAAAAAAATCTGGATGGCACCTGTGGCTCAGTGAGTAGGGCACTGGCCCCATATACTGAGCGTGGTAGATTCGAACCCGGCCCTGGCCAAACTGCAACAAAAAAATAGCTGGGCGTTGTGGCGGGTACCTGTAATCCCAGCTACTCAGGAGGCTGAGAGAAGAGACTAGCCTAAATCCAAGAGCTTAAGGTCGTTGTGAGCTGTGATACCACAGCACTCTACTGAGGGTGACAAAATAAGACTCTGTCTCTAAAAAAAAAAAAAGGAAAATCCTTTTCCTCTCAACAATCTATTTTCCAAAGGACTTTCATGTCTACTAGTTTATGGGAGCATGACAACAGACACCTCAGAAGATTAAAAAGAATAACTTTCCATTTTTGATGAAAAGATGCAGGTAACTTACGTAAGGCAGTGACTGGCACCATAATGTTCAGAATCACAGGGTTGAGGGTTGTTTTGGGACAATTCCCAGACCCTAGTAAGATGGAATAAAGGGAGCTCACACAATCTTGAGGTATGAACCAAAACAGGGACTTGTAAAATGACTTCTATGGGGGTATCAGAGAAGGACATGAGTCAGGTTTGAAGGGCATAAAGGTAGAGTAAAAGGAAATGAAGACTTCAAAGGAGAAATCCACAAGTTGGTCCTGGTTGCTGAAGCTGGGTTGCTTGCTGTGGCTGATAATCTTGTTATGACTTTTGCTCTTGCCTGGATTTTTGGTCTGGTCATAACTTCTGCTCTGGCCCTCATTTCTTGTGTTGGTGAAGACTCTTGTGCTGAAGATTGTTGCCACCATAGGTACTCTGGGGACTCTTACTCCGGCTTCTGCTATGCCGGGGACTCTTGCCTTTGCCACTTTTGGGACTCGTGCTCTTTCTCCGACTTCTGCTAATTTGGAGACTCTCATTCTGGTCTGGATCTGTGCTTTGATAAGGACTATTGCTCCGACTCTGACTCCTGCTTTTGGTCTGGCTGCTACTACTTGGGCACTCACGAATAATAGTAGAACTACAGCTGAGATTATCAGTAGAGTTGGAAACCTTGAGTGAAGGCAAAGGGCAGCTATAGGGAATCTTGGGGGTCTCTTCACAAGAGCCTTGTGGGGCCACAGAGTAGGTATGGAGGCCACAAGGGACAGGATCAGGGCAGGTCCGGACTCGGGGGGCAACGGGTAGACATTGGGGGTCAAAGGGTGTTCTCAAAGGTATAAAAGAATAGATGTGGGTAGAACAAGGAGGCACCACAGGCTGGCGATTAGATTGGGGTGGGCCCCTAGGAGCATTATATGTGCCACGAGGTGGCACTACAGGATGGTTAAGACACTGAGGGAGGCCTAGGGAGCCATTGAGGCAATCAGAGACAGGGCAGGGATGAGGGGTGGAGGGAACCACAGAGAATATATGGGTATTGCAGGGAGATCTTATGAGGGGTCCACGAGGGCTGCTGTGAGCATAACTAGTTGGAAAGATAGGATCATAAGGAAGGCGGAGGGGAAGAGAGGTGGGGACAACAGTGTTGAGGGTTCTAGGAACCGTGGAAAGAGAAGGTAAGAGAAGCCCTGGGGGAAGTCCTTTGGGGTAGGAATTTGAAGGAGTTGTAATGGGTGGCTCCATACTAGGAGGACCAGAAAGGCCAGAGGGATGGAAGGGAGGTGGAGGAGAGGTGTTGGGCTTAGAGGAGTTTGGCTGGCCAGCAGGGGCATGATGAACAGTATTCACTAGGGAGTGACACCTATGGGGAGTACATGACCGTCTTAACTCTGAGAATTTAGGGGACTTTGTTTGGGGGCAAACTGGAGTGGGAAGAGGGGGCTCATTGTATCTCCTGGTGGGAAGTGATTGGGGTGAAGATATAAACTGGTTGCCCAGTGTTGAAGGGAAGAAGGCAGAATAAGGACAGTAGGGAAGAGATGGCTCCTGGGGACAGGGTGGGGCAGAAATTGTGGTGCCTGGGTTTTGCAAGAAGTAAGAGTTCCCACCAACCTCCCAGGAGAAACTGGGCCCAAAGCAAGACTTTCCAAGAGCCTTGGACTGGGGTGAGCAAGGAGAACCAGTACTCCCAGGGGGTTGTTGGATGACACAGTGAGGAATTCCAGCAACAGGTATGTCGCAATCTGAGGAAAGTTGGGCATAATAAGTGCTCTCCTGAGGTAACCTAGAAGTGTCAGACATGCCTGCCTGGGAAGGGAGGCCACAACAATTTTTCTCAAGGGGCAGATCAAGCTGTGGTTTAGGTTCACAAGAGTCTGGAAGCTTAAGACCGCCATGGTACAAACTGTCAGTAGGTGGGGAAGATGTTTGGGAAAGAGGAGGGTCATTATAATTTCTCCCTGAGGACCAGTGAGAGGGCAGGGAGGAGACCATCAGCCCACTTTCCACAACCCTGTTAGATAGGGTTGGAGAGACTATAAGTCTAGTTTTCACTGGCCGGTGAACAAGGGCAGGTGACATTGTGAGGCAAGTTTCCAGGGTCCTATGCGCAGGAGGCGGCGAAATAATGAGGCAAGTTCCCTGGGACTCATGAGCGACAGGAGGTGAAACCGTGGGGCCAGTTTCCAAGGGTATATGAATGAGGTTAGGGGAAGTCACCGGGCTGGTTCTTGGGGGCTGATAAGTGAGGGTAGGAGAGGTCACTGGACAGGTTCCTAAGGACCTACGAGTGAGGGTAGGAGAGGTCATGGGGCTGGTTCCTGAAACAGAAGGGTGTTCACTACAGCAACAGAAGTAAGCGTGTTGGTTTAAGTAAGAGCCTCGAGGACAGGGACGTGGCATTCGTGGGGGACTGATCCAGCTGCAATAAGCACTCCGCTGAGGGAGAGGGGGTGATTTCGGAATGCTGGACTGGTTAAAATAAGGACTCAGAGGGGGAGAACATGAGAGGCTGGACCCATGGCAATAGAGCCTGTCGAGCAGTGGAGAAGATGAGGGTTCAAAGAAACATCTCCCTGGGCACAGGGGAGGTTGGGGAGGTGGGGAACGGGGTAGTGGGGGCGGGGAGGGAATCCGTGGGGGTGGGCAGGAGGGCGTGCCGGTTACGCAAAAGGAAGAGTCTCTGGAGAAGTGGGGAGAGTCCGGGAACTGAGAGGAGTCGTTGCACCTCTTGCCTGCGTTTGGGGAAAGGCCGGCGGTGTGGGCAGGGTGGTCGCTGTAACCTTTCCTGGCCGCCAGAGGCAACTGGAGGGTGAATCCTTTCCTGCAGGGTGTTGGAGACCCAGAAGGGAAGGGGAAGTCGCTATGTTTTCCTAGGGGTGAGGGCGGCCGGGCTGGTAGTTCAATGAGGAAAGGAGCAGAAGAGGTCATGGGGAGGATAGGTAGGGGATAAGGGGAGGGAGGGAGAGAAAGAGGAAAGTGGAAGGGGTAGTGGGGGCCAAGGGAAAGGTAAGTACAGCCGGGAACAAGAGGCGGTGACCTAACCAAAACAATGAGAGCGGAGTTGTGACGTAACTTAGAGGGGCGGAGTCAGGAGGCTACAAACTTAACAGGAAAACACTAAGACTTGTGACGAAATAAAAAGGCGGCAGAGGCGGTGAGGTAGCAGACGCGGAAGGGAGGAGCCTAGTGACGCTCCTGAGTGGCGGGGGAAAGAGGCCTAAGCGTACAAGAGGGGCGGGAGTAGAGAACGTAACCGAAGGGGCTGGGAAATGGAAGGGCCGGAGAGGTTTCTAGAGAGGCGGCGGCCAGAAACTATAGTTACTGTTCGCTTCTGCGCCCCGAGTCGACCTTACCCATTTCTTTTTATGTCGATGTCTCCGCGGGACGGTCGCGAAATACACAGGCTTCAGCAGCTTCCGAACACCTCTCGGTAACGGCACAGCCATGTCAGCGTGCGCCGCTAGGTAATTCCGACCGGAACCGTGACGGGACACCCACGGGTTCCGGGGAGGTGATGAGCGCTCCCCTGGTGGACGAGATGGGTAGAGAGGAGTGAATCCTACCAGACGCTTTCCCAGGGTTCCGCCCTTCGCTGGATAACCGCGCCCGGCCAGGTGGTCCCTTGAGGGTGCTGGAGAAAAAGCAACCTGGCCCTCGGAATGGTGACTCCTCCTTGATGATCGGATCGGCTTTAGACGCGTACTCCTCTAACCCAGTTGGAGGATCTGGGAGGACAGTGAGCTAATGGTTGAGTACTGAAAGTTATCTAGACGAAAAAGGGTGGAGGGCGGCGGCCCCATATACCGAGGGTGGTGGGTTCAAACACAGCCCCGGCCAAACTGCAACAAAAAAATAGCCGGGCGTTGTGGCGGGCTCCTGTAGTCCCCGCTACTCGGGAGGCTGAGGCAAGAGAATCGCCTAAGCCCAAGAGCTGGAGGTTGCTATGAGATGTGACGCCACAGCACTCTACCGAGGGCGATAAAGTGAGACTGTCTCTAAACAACAACAACAACAACAGAAAGAGTGGAAAGAGCCTTCTAGGCAGAAATTACACTGAGGAAGATCCTGAGGTAGAGGAAAAAGAGACCAGACTTTTAGGCAGGGGCGTATTTGCAATGAAGATAATGAAGCTTAAATTTCTGGACCTGTCATTTGCACGACCACTTTCGAGACCTTGTACCTAATTTTGTTACTACTTTTATTACTATTATTATTTTGTAGAGACAGAGTCCCACTTTGTCTAAGGTGACCAGATTTTAACATTGATAAAGCGGGACACCATTGACGGGGATGGGAGGGTGGGGGTGGGTTCTTAATTAAAAATTTGGTCTATATGGAGCAACAAAAATTTTCATAGAACGCAAAAATAGTATTGTAATATATATTTTTTAATTTCAACATAAGTACAATTTACAAATATAATACAGTTAAAAATTATGTATTGTATTTATTCTTTGGCATATTTCTCATTTGAGTGAATTATTTTTAGTAGATTGCTGTCGTTAAAAGGTCATGAAATTTTTCACAAGAATTTGTGAAATTTATTTCACACATAAAATGGCTTTTAAAGTCTCAACACTTGTGATTTTTCTGATGTCCACACTTTATTCGCCATAGAAAAAACGGGTTCAGTTGCAGCATTAGTTCCTGGTAAGGACAGCGTGTATCCCACAATTTTTAGTGCATTATTGTATGGAACATGGTTTGTTTCAAAATGATGAA